TTGACATTTTGGATCCGTGGCCAGGCAACTCCCCGGATCTCAGTCCCGTAGAGAACCTGTGGTCAGTCCTCAAAAGGCAAGTGGACAAGCAGAAGCCAACAAATTGTGATCTACTCCGAGAACTAATAAGGCAAGAATGGATCGCCATCAGTCAGGATTTGGCCCAGAAGCTAATAACCAGCATGCCAGAGCGAATTGCAGAGGGTATGATGAACAAGGGTCAACACTCTAAATATTGACTCATTATATTTTTTGCCAATAAAAGCCTTTAAAACTTATGATATGCTTATCATTGTTTTTCAGTATACCACAGAAACATGTGGAAAAATAATCTACATATACTGAAGTAGCAAACTTTGCAAAACACAAAATTTATGTCACTGCCAAAACTTTTGACCATGACTGTAGAAAAATCATAAGTGCACAATAATTTTATAAAATCTAAACATTTAGTGAAAAAAAAAAACATTATTTAGTGGGGAACAAATAAAAGTGAATAAGTGTAGGGCTAAATCTGGTGAAATGTTAAACATGACTCTTTGTATTGTTGTAAAATACATTCATGAAAAACAAGTAGCCTAATATATTTATATATTAATTAATATACTATAAAATTAAAAGACATTTCTTTTAAATGTATAGCACAGTAATGAGGCAGCAACATATGATAGATAAGACAACAAGAAAGGCTATTAATAATCTTTCATAGCGCAAAAGTATTATAACACGAAAGGCTCCTATACGCAGCGGCACAAAGCTCTTATGCGCATCCCGTACTTCGAATGATATGCTTGAAGCAACACGGAGTCACCGCGCGCAGCGCTCCGCATAGAAAAGTTCAAAGCACAAAGGGAAGATGATTTTGATGCGTAGTGTATTATATTTGTGCAATAGTTTATTGAGCCTTTTCTTTTAACAGTTTTAAATTTCAGTTGATGAGCGCATTAAGAACAATTGATAGTGCTCTCCACTCCAGAGTAGTGATCTCTAACATACAACGGGAGGAAAGTAACATGCTTTAGAAACAGCACTAAACTCCAGCAAGATACTGTAAGGTCCTTTTATGCAAAACCACTGATCTTTATCTATAGATCAAGTATAATAATAGGAACATTTGATCATCTTAGAGAGAGTTTCATCGTCTTGACTGTCTCACCGAATGAGATGTGCCGATTGAATGCTGAATGGAGGATGACAGACAGCCGGAGCGGAGAGAAGAGTTTAAGTGAACTTGTATTTAACGACTTAAATATTCATCTGTAGGCCTACATCACATTAAACTATGAAACGGTCTCAGGACACTTGAAATATAGTGCACGAAAACTTTTTGGTGCTTTATAATGTTTTGTGCCTTTCGTGGGACTTAAAGGGGTCATATGATGCGATTTCAAGTTTTCCTTTCTCTTTGGAGTGTTACAAGCTGTAGCGTCTGGACCAATCAAACACACAATTTTTCATTTGATTTAACAAATCAGTTATTCATTAGATTAACAAATCGTCACAGACCCCTCACCCAATAAACTGGGTGCCAGGATGTCTGCGAACACACCAGGCCCCCCTGGTCACCATGGCAACCAATGCTGATATCACTGGTTTTATGGCCCAAAGGAATGCGGGTAGAGAAAATCACTACCTTTTCCATAGGAAGAGACACAATGCACAGTAGAAATGGACTCTTCTCTAATTAATTCATAGGAAAACCTTTCTTTGAATGAACACACATATCCTTCAGGTCATTGTGTATGTTGTCTTTGATATTTTATACTGTTTTATGCAGGCTTATGATGGAACCACTCGTTCCTGTCATCTTACCTATATGTAATCCTACCATGTTTAGTACCTATGAATTCGCCTTCTGATGATCTAAACGAGCGTGTATATTATATGTTGGTACATAGGCAATATATTAGTGTCCTGAGAATCTTTAGTAATTTCGATTCAAGTTCCATATGCAAATGACCATGCTTCCACACAAAGGGTCATAAAACTCCCCAGTATCTCAATACTCCCACTTGGGATACCGGCCTTTCTCATTGGACAAGCCCATATTCTGCTGAATATGCAAATGGTTCCATAACTTCATATTCTTATTCTCCCTCCTCTTTAGCTGGCTGTGCAAAGGCTATTTCTAAAAAAAAAAAAAAAGGGTCAGTTCCAGCTTTGCTATGACAATCTGGCGCTTCTGAATCAGCGACTGTAAGTATGTTTTGTTATTAGTTTAAGTATTTGCTATTGACTGTTCAAATGCGGAGTTTTGCGCATCGTTCGTTCGTGTGTGTGTGTGTGTGTGTGTGTGTGTGTGTGTGTGTGTGTGAGGGGAACAGGGTCACATCACAGGAGAGTGAACTGCCTGTCAGAAATCATAGCACGTCAGCTGTCTTGTGTACTGCATCATCACTACATTATTAACTGTCTTGATATTTACTTTGAAAGCTTGAAGCTCGCGATTATGGTAAGGGGCGTTACATTTCCGACGCGTGCTTGTGGTGTTCGGCCAATCACAATGCACTGGTTCAGCTGGCCAATCCGAGCAGACTGCGCTGGTCAAAAGAGGGGGCTTTGTTGAAAACGACGTGTTTGAGAGAGGCGGGGCATAGAGGACCTACAATAATGTACAGTATTTGAAAAATAATGTGTGTTTTTAACATTAAAGCATGTCAACATATTCTTTTACACCAAATACACAAAATAATGATCTTTAAAATAGCATCATATGACCCCTTTAACAATAACACAGAATAGTATACGCAGAATATTGGATTTGGATCGGTCTTGTCTGACCGATACCCGATCCGTGCACCCCTAGTTTTGCATAAATGTTACAATTAAAGGTTTCGAAACAACGTGTCACCAAATAAATTCATATTGGTCATTATACTACAATTAATATCAGTACATTTATGATTTAATGTGATTTCTCACCTCTCTGGCAAAGCGGACCATCTGAAGGGAGAGCTTGAATACATCCACAAGTGCCTCCCACAATGCCATCACACACCTGATAGGCCCTACAGGTGTCATTGGGCCAAAGCTTGAATACACAAGTGCCTCCCACAATGCCATCACACACCTGATAGGCCCTACAGGTGTCATTGGGCCAAACATGATTCTCCTCACACTTGCACTCATATTCTGTTCCATTTAACCCACACACTGTAATAGAATGGGATTAATTTATCAGTGTTCCAACTGTCAGTTTCTCCTAATACTGAAGTCATCTTAGCATGTGACATGATAAAACATTCTGATCTCACCAGTATTCATGTCAATATCTGTGATATTAATGCTGTTTCTCAGAGTCAAAGGCAGGCTGATATTTTTGATGAGATTCCGTAAGTAGTCCACCAGGAACAAGTCAAGGAATCTCACATCAATGTCAATCACGTACTTAGAAGGTAGAACTGCAAGAACAAACAGAAGCAGGTTGAGCAGAACAATTAGCATGATTATATTTTTATAATGACAAAAAAGTAATATTTCCAGTAATTTCAAATAAATAAATTTTTTCACAGATATAATATACCACAAAGCCTGAGGTTAATATTGAAAGTATCTTACTGTTAACATTTCAACAAAACTTCATATAATAGACCATGTATTTTATATAGAGTTATTTGCAACCAAAAAACAAGCAAATAATCAGTCTGTCAAACCTAGCAGTAAAATGCAGTAAAATCAAAGCAGGAAAACAGCATACTTAGTGTTCCTAGTTGGAAAACTCAAACATGAAAGTCTTTGTAATTTGAATCTCATTATTTTATGTTTTGGTTGCCAAACATGAAAAATAGAGGATGAAGAAAATTATTTTTGCAGTAGATGAAAACACTAATTGTTGTTTAATTGTTAATTAAATAATACACTCTGTTTAAAATGATTTAATAGCAAAAAGAAGAAAAAAAGTAAATGCCGTAAAACAATATATTTGGTTATTTTCCAAAATTAGGCTACATATAAATTTGATTCCACGATTTACCTCTACATGTGTTATTGATGCTGATGGGGAGACTTGAAATTGTTGCAGTGAATCCATCCAGACATGAGCAATTATAACTTCCCAACTGATTTGTGCAGTTAGAATTTGGACCACATACAGATGGACTGAACAGACATTCATTTATATCTATGGAATTAAGAAAAGAAACATAACAAAAATACTGTAAAGACAAAGCAGCTGTGTACACTCAATTTAATGAGATAAAAACAGAACACAAAATTAGATAATTATATTTACCATGACATGAGTTGTCACTGCTCACAGGACTGTCTTTATTGGAGGTATTAAATCCACTCCAGCATGAACACATGTGACTCCCAATGATGTTAATACAATCTGAGTATTGACCACACACTGACACTGCATCTTCACATTCATTGATGTCTGGAAAAAAAAGAGTGAGAAGGTTTGCATAAATGTTACAATTAAAGGTTTCCAAACAACCGTGTCACCAAATAAATTCATATTGGTCATTATACTACAATTAATATGAGTACATTTATGATTTAATGTGATTTCTCACCTCTCTGGCAAAGCGGACCCTCTGAAGGGAGAGCTTGAATACATCCACAAGTGCCTCCCACAATACCATCACACACCTGATAGGCCCTGCAGGTGTCATTGGGCCAAACATGATTCTCCTCACACTTGCACTCATATTCTGTTCCATTTAACCCACACACTGTAATAGAATGGGATTCATTTATCAGTATTCAAACGGTCAGTTTCTCCTAATACTGAACACATCTTAGCATGTGAAATGATAAAACGTTCTGATCTCACCAGTATTCATGTCAAAATCTGTGATATTAATGCTGTTTCTCAGAGTCAAAGGCAGGCTGATATTTCTGATGAGATTCCGTAAGTAGTCCACCAGGAACAAGTCAAGGAATCTCACATCAATGTCAATCACGTACTTAGAAGGTAGAACTGCAAGAACAAACAGAAGCAGCTTGAGCAGAACAATCAGCATGATTACATTCTTATAATGAACAAACAGAAGCAGGTTGAGCAGAACAATTAGCATGATTATATTTTTATAATGACAAAAAAGTAATATTTCCAGTAATTTCAAATAAATAAATTTTTTCACAGATATAATATACCACAAAGCCTGAGGTTAAAGTTAAAGTATCTTACTGTTAACATTTCAACAAAACTTCATATAATAGACCATGTATTTTATATAGAGTTATTTGCAACCAAAAAACAAGCAAATAATCAGTCTGTCAAACCTAGCAGTAAAATGCAGGAAAATCAAAGCAGGAAAACAGAACAAAATAATTGAGAAAATTTGAGAAAAATTGACGTTGTCATAGTATAATGTCAGTGTCTCACTTTGGCAGAACTGTCTGTCGACTGGAAGGGCATTGATACAGGTACATGAACCATCGGTGATGTCATCACAGGCCTCGTATGAGTGACACGTGTCATTCGGCCAAACAAACAGACCCTCACATTTACACTGATACTGTGTTTCATTCAAAGAACACACTGAAAAACAGAGGAAGAGTCAAAAAATCCAAAATGCATCATTTATGGCAGCATTCATGATGTATAAAGTTTAATCTTAGTTATACAATATTACAGAAGCAGAGCCAGAGATCATACCAGTAGTTATGTTGATTTCTGTAATGTTAGTGCTGTCACTGATTGTGTAGGGCAAACTGAAAGACATCAGAAGGTTCCTCAGCTGATCAGTGATGCTACTGTCCATGCTATTGATCTGAATTTCAATCAGATATTCAGTCAAAGGTAGAGTCACTGTAGAAATAAAGTGGGGAAAAACATCCAGAAATGATGACTATGCCTTTTACCTACAAATACGATAAACAAAGTTTGTAATAGATAATGATTTTTTTGGCCAACAGGATTTAATGCAACTGTATTTTGTTTTGTTTCATTTTAAACTCCAGCATGTATTTAAACATCTTTAATCATCGCTGAAAACAGAAGTAAAGGAAACATGCACCAAGCCATAAAAGAGATTGAATTCATATTTGTGTAAAATTTACACACAATATAAATTAAATATATCATGATGAAATATATCTTCTGCATGCTCACCATTGCATGGGTTACTGGCGCTGACTGGTTCACGGCTATTTGTTACAGTAAATCCACTCAAGCAGGAACAGTTGTAACTCCCATTTGAGTTTTTGCAACGAGAGTTTGGACCACAGACCTCTGGTGTCTCAAGACATTCATTCACATCTTTATTACAGGAAGATATGAAAAAAAAACATACTTAGTGTTGCTTGTAGGTTTTGGTTACCAAACATGAAAGATGGAGGATGAAGAAATTTTTTTTTGCAGGAGATGAAAACACTAATTGTTGTTTAATTATTAATTAAATAATACAATGTATTTAAAAAGATTTGATAGCAAAAAGGAAGAAGAAAAAAAAAAGTAAATGCCGTAAAACAATATCTTTGGTTATTTTCCAAAATTATGCTATATATAAATTTGATTCCAGGATTTACCTCTACATGTGTTATTGATGCTGATGGGGAGACTTGAAATTGTTGCAGTGAATCCATCCAGACAGAAGCAATTGTAACTTCCCAACTGATTTGTGCAGTTAGAATTTGGACCACATACAGATGGACTGAACAGACATTCATTTATATCTATGGAATTAAGAAAAGAAACATAACAAAAATACTGTAAAGACAAAGCAGCTCTGTACACTCAATTTAATGAGATAAAAACAGAACACAAAATTAGATAATTATACTTACCATGACATGAGTTGTCACGGCTCACAGGGCTGTCTTTATTGGAGGTATTAAATCCACTCCAGCATGAACACATGTGACTCCCAATGATGTTAATACAATCTGAGTATTGACCACACACTGACACTGCATCTTCACATTCATTGATGTCTGGAAAAAAAGAGTGAGAAGGTTTTGCATAGGGCTGGCTCGATACCACTTTTTCAGATCCGATCCGATACCACAAATTATGAATATCGGCCGATACTGATACAGATCCGATACCAGCGCAGTTTTTTTTTTATTTATCGACTAAAAACACATCTCTTCCATCTTTATTATTCTATCTCCTCTAACTCTAGCACTCTCTATTCTAATTCTATTCTTTAAAAAAAAAAGACTTGCACTCTATTCGTTTACTAACTGCTTGTTTTCTTTTAAAAAAAAAACCTAACACTAGCTTCTCTATTCTTTTTGTATTCTATTTGTTTTCTTTTTATTTATTATACAATTAACAAAAGCAAAAAAGGCCTCTTGACACGAGCTTGCTCTATTCTTTTTCTATTCTATCTGTTTTCTTTTTATTTATTGTATCATTTAAAAAAAAACTTGCTATGTGTACTGCGTTAAGCTAACTGAGACTTGTTATAGCACTTGCGTATCATTGCTCTTTTATTGATTTTGATTGCTTCCATTGTCCTCATCTGTAAGTCGCTTTGGATAAAAGTGTCTGCTAAAAGACTAAATGTAATTTCATTGCCAACAAATTATGTTTGAAATCTAGAGGCTTGATCCATTGCCATGTTTGTTTGTTTTTTCAAACATACAAAATATACATAAACTGATATACAAACATCGATGTAACAGACAGAAATGAGCCATATTAGTTGAGTTTGTGCAGGAGATGCTGCATCAGTGACTGTCTCTTGACGACAATAAAGTACAACAACACATGTTTGTGTAAAACAATGACTGGCCAGAGTATTCACATCGGTAAAAGATGAGTCTCATTACGACTGACAAATCCAGGGCTCTCAAGTTATAGCAAAAGTTTGGAGTGAGATTACATCTGTTAGGGGAGGAGCCACTCAAAGGGGAGGAGCAATATTTGCAGCACCCAATTCTCTCAAGTTTTTGCTAGCAGTTGGTTGCCAGTAAGCCTGTAAATTTACAAAAGTACTGTAAATCAATAATTACAATTGTACTGTAAAAA